GGCCAATTAGGGCTGGCCTTCTCCACCTTCTTATTGTTTTCTAAAACAATTTTATATTTTTTAGAACAATTTTCCTTATCAGCATTCAAAAGATCCTGACTATGCTCAAAACTTCTTTTTAAAATTTTACCAGACACATTAGCACTACTACCTACCATTTGATTGTCAACCTGCATTTCCTCAGTCCTCATACTAAGAAAGTTTCTCTCTTTCCTAATGAAACCTGTAACAGGTTTTGGGATAGAGTCCTATTGAAATGAAGATGCAATATTAACATCAATAAGACCATTAGAATCAATAACCACAACATCATTATTAACAACCACAGTTTCAGTTTGACCAACAGGCAATGAGGATTCTTCTACTCCCAACCCCATACCACCCTCCTGAGCTATAATAGGCTCACTAGTTACTCTCTTAAGACTTATGGGAGACCCTCTCCCAGGAGTAACTGTAAGGTTGAATGTAGACCTTGTGGTTTTACCTCCTACACCACTCTCCCCCTTATCAACAGAAGTGCTGTTATGTATTTTCTCCTCAGATCGAGGACTCACTGAGGTTATGTTTAGGGGACCTAGTTTCAGAGAAAAACAACACAGATGCTCTTAACCAGTCACCAAACTGCCCTAAATTAATCTGATTCCTATCCACATCTTCGTTTTTCCTCATGCAATTTCTTTCACCATGCCCAATCCGGCCACAGTAGAAACAAAAGATTTGTAAGTTTTCATATCGAAAATCAACCCATTTATTCTCAGAGCTAAGTTTTATGTTGGTACCTCTAAGTAATGGGTCTTTCAGATTATGCTCCACCAATAGTTTCAGCACCCTGCCATGTGAGCTACTAGTCCCAGGGACAGCAACATCAAGAGCTTTGCCAAACAGTTTGCCAATTTTGTAACATGTCTCCTCAGATATCCAATGTAGGGGAAGGTTCAACACCTGAATCCACACCTTGATTTTTTCCTCTTCTGCCAGAAATTCTGTACTTTTTGGATCCCATTGTTTCAAAACTAGATATTGCGCGTCGAAATTCCACGTCTTCCCTCTCAGAATCTTATCTTTGTCCTCTGAATTTTGAAATAAGAACTGGAAGGTGTTTTGCCCTAGGCTGCGCACTGTAAACGCCTGTCTTGTAGACCACAGGCCTTCCATGTGGATTTCAAACCACCAAAATTCACCTTTTTATCCCCATATAGCTTGCCAATTAAACTTAATTTACATTCCTCCACTCCCAGAGCGACATCGTCATTAGATAGTGTAACCCCATGAACTGCACGCTCACATAACGCGAATTTCTCTAGCTTCTTTACTACTTCTTCTTCCATAATGGATCCCAAACTGGCGACCTACACAAATTAGGTAATTCACGAAACAAAAACAAAACAAGGGTTAACAGAACAAAGAACTGGAAAATGCACAATGAATATCACACAACTAAAATGAATCAAGAACTCAAGGCAAAAAAAACAGGCAAAAGGGACCTAAAGAAACTCCCACAAAACCACAAGCGAGAAAACCCCTGACCCTAAATAGAAGAAAACCAAGGAAACAAGATGCCAAACCCGACTCCTAAACTAGGAACTGGGAACTCTCATGAAGAGAGAGAAAAACCCTAATCATGAAGAGAACTCCACCAATAAAATGTTTGGGTTGCACATCAATTTGTTAAAAAAGGCCCAATGTCATCTTTTACCAAGAAAAGGCCCACTTGTTTTTTTTTTTTTAAAAAAAAATNNAAAAAAATAGTCTGGATTTAAAAAAAAAAGACCCAACATGAATAAAGGCTGAATGATCCAACGGTCAGTATCGTTACACGTGTAATGATCCGACGGCTGTATTTTATTAGGAAATGATATAAAACACAAAAATCAACTTCAACAGGGTTTCCATTTTCTTTCATCACCCAGATCGCCCCCTTATCAACATCTCTTCTTATTTTTTTTTTCTTTCTTTTTTTCTGTCTGATTTCCAAAAAAATCAAAAGATATCCCAATTTCTAAGGTTTGCCTTTCAAATCCCGAAATCATAGTAAGATATATGTCTGATATACATCAATCCGGCGAAAGATTTTATTTTTTCGGGCTATACAGTAGTTATTCTTTACTACTTTTTGAAGAGATGAACAATTTTCC